GAGCACAGGGAGCCAGGAGACACAGGCAGAGCTGACGGGAGCCTAGTGACAGCCCTGGTGTGGAGAGTCTCATGGCATCATCACAGAAGCCTGGGGGTGCCGTCCTGGGGAGCTTGGCTTTCCCACTCGCAACTGGGCAGTGAGATTCTGTCCCTCAGGTACCAGTGGGCTCCTTACATCTAGAACGGGAGCGCCGTGCGCTGTGGCTGCTCCAGACTGAGGCCAGTGCTCCCTCAAACTAGGGTGACAAGGTCGGGCAAATGGGATCCAGCTCAGCCTGGCCAGGCTTTCCCCAAGAGCCTCAGGGTGGCCCTGGGAGCAGCTGCAGCAGCAGAGTCAGGACGCGGCTCTGTAAAACCCGTGACCCCAAACTTGTGCCCAGTGCCAACCTCCCTGGACCCTGACAATCTAGCCTTTCATCAGATCATCCAAGTAGGAGGGACAAGGACAAACATGAGGCTGCCCACCCCCAAGCCCCTCCTCTGGGCAGAGACGACAAGTAGGCAGCCCGCCAGGACGGAGAGCCGCCAGAGCGCCCACACGGGACACAGACCCGGGACACTGCTCCAGACGGGCAGGCCCCAGCTCTGAGTCCTCCTGTCACCTTGCCTGCGCTGGGACCACTGGCGAACCTCCATGTGACACGAGAATGCCCAGGAGGGAGGGGACGAGAAGGCTGGAGCTAAGTGCTGACCCTCGCCTTTTTAAAACTTAACTTTTAATTCCATGTCAAGTACATTTTCCTTGTAAAAACTGAGAACACCCGTGAAGTTCGATTTGGGGTTTTTCTGAGACACAGCCATTTCTCCACTGAGGGGCGCTCAGGACGTTCCCATCTTTGGCTGCTATAAACCAAGCAGCAAGGAGCAACTCCCGGGTGGGCAACGCCCCCGCACCTCCCGCCAGGAGACGCTGCCAGGATGCCCTTCTCTGTGCTTCATTAAGACATCACTGGCCTGGGGGCTTTCTCCACCTTCCCTGGTGGGGACCCCTGTCCTCTCCACACTCAGCCCCCACCCTGGCCAAGAGCAGCACAGGGGTGGGGACAGCAGGACTCAGCTCCTACATGACACATTTCTGCCAGGGTCCAGGCTGGCAGCCATGGCCCTGGACACATGCCCTAGTTGGGTCCTGGGCAGGGCCACCCTCCTGGGCACGGAGGTTCAACGCCAAGCTGCCCACAGGCCCACCCAGACCGGGAAGCCAGGAGGCTGCCCAGACACACCTCTTCCTAACTCCCGATTTTCCCTTAAAAAGGCATTTGGGCAGAGACGACAAGTAGGCAGCCCGCCAGCATGAGTCACCCACAAGTTATTCTGAAGCTGTGGCCCACAACAATCACCTCTGCGGCCCTGGGAAGGGGACCCTGAGGCTTCCTGTCCAAAGGCTGCCAGTCCCTGGGCGGGGAAGTCCAACACGACTCAGGGGCCTTTTATAGCAGAACATGGGCAAGATGACCCAAACTAACTCTCTGGGGCGGGAGCTCCTGGTGGCCCCGCCCTGGAACAGGAGTGGGTTCATGTGGTGGCAGGAACAGCAGATCTCACACCGGCCCCTGGAACTATCCCCAAAATTAACCAAAAAAAAAAAGAAAAATAGGGATTTTTTTTTTCATAACAAGTATGTCATTTATGTTAATAGGTAATGAGCTTATCATGACTACTTCTAATTAGCTTCTCAACTTCTCATTTCTGATCCAGTCCATGCCAGTCCACATACGCCCCCTGGGGCTCTGGCTGGACCTCGGGCCGCGCTCGCGGTGAGGGGATGGGCGGTGGGGCTCACAGGAGTGCAGCCTGAATGGGAGCTGGACCGGGCAGTGGGAGAGGCGGCTGCAGTCCTGGATGGGCCCCTGGGCAGCGCAGGCAGGAATGGGAAGCCAGTCTAGTCTGGCTCACAGAGGCACCCCTGATTCCTAGTCTCCAGGTTCCCACACCTGATCCCTCCTGGCTCACCTGATTCAGACAGTTTCAGCTCACAGTCCATGTAATCGAACATCTCCACAGTGAGCTGGAAGCTGCGGGGGAGGCGAGAGGGTTGAGAGAGCGTGGTAGGAGGCATGCCCCTGGGAGACCCCTCCACAGTTCATCAACACGCCTTTGCACAGCACAACGGCCCTTCGGCCAAAAACACCTAATTCCAAACAAATCCCATCCCCTCAATGTTATCTTCATCTCCAGGGAACATGACCTTTGGCCCGAGAGAGCCACTGACACGTGGGAGCCTGGAGACTTTAGGGACAAACAGGGAAATCGAGGGAGGAGAAGGAAACGGCGCCAGGCCACTCCGCCTTCTGGAGAGACTCACATGTCGTTGATGTCAGTCCCAGCTGCCTTCTCCAGCACCTCGTCTGTCACCTCGAGGCCCGCAGGAAACTGGGGGTGCTGCAAAGAGGACACCCTATTCAACAGCAGGCCCAGAGCCAGTTCTAACTTCTGAGGGAGGGGAAGAGGCTGGAGAAGCCCCCGACCTGTGGAGCTGCCCTCTGCCCGGGGTGCTGGCTGAGGAGGGACTGGGAGGGACCGGAGACCAAGGACAGAAGATGGGACACCTCCCGCCAGGGCGAAGAGGCTGCTCGGACCCAAGGGCAAGGCCAAAACCACCTCCAGTGTCCGCAGAAAACACGTCAAGAGGCACTGACTTCTGGGAACCCCGCATCCCCGTGTCCCCTTGGATTAGGTTGGGACAGAACAGGACCTGCCCTCCACCAGTCCCAGGACATCAGGAAGGAAATCCCAGGGCCCCTCCACCCCACGACCCTCCCGAGGACACCACCTTGAGGTGGAAGGAGATCTTGGTCAGCAGGAGTTTGGTGTAAACATTGACCAGCTGTCCGTACCGATCGTGCAAATGGCCCTGTGAAGGGAGGAGCTGGATCAGCGCCCACTGCCCAGGAAAGTGCCCGAGAGTCCCATAGGCCCTGGCACGCCACGGGGCAGATCAGGGCGCTGAGGTGGGACAACACCAGGTGACAGCCGAGTGTCACTCCTTCACCCACCAATCACTTATTCACTCAACAAACGTTAACCAGCCAAAGGCGACTGACTCTTTTCCTGGGAACCTCCACCAATGCCCTTTGTCAAAAACTCTTTCATTTTGCTTTTTTAATCATACTCCTTGCCAGTCTTGCCAAAGCAACTCCTGTGACAAGAGCTCCTTGTCTAGGCAGCAGGCCAGTCCTGGGTTGAGATACTTTATGACAATGCTTGCAGCAGACCGGGAGGCACACTCCACAGGCGCGTGTCTATGTCCTCCCAGGTGCCTCCTCTGTCACCTCCTAACACTGCTTCCCCGTGGCCACGCCAGCTGGACGTGCGTCTGCACATGGCGCCCTGCTGCCGTTTTCCTGACTTCCGGTGAAACACAGCGGCCCGGGCTCCTGCGGCCCTGGCTCCAGGGGCGCCCTGCCTGGCGGGGCTCTAGCATTGCTCCCAGGGGACAAAGAGGCCAGAGGTTCTCTCTCCACCCCCGATTCTGGAGGGTGCAGGGGGGGACCTAGATGACCAGCTCCCGGGCTCTCAGACTTGCCCGTGAATAAGAATCTTCTGGGAGCTTCCCGAGCACACAGATTCCAATCTGAGATTCTACAGCAGCCAGTCTGGGGGTCCAGGAGCCTGCACCCCTCCCACGGGCTCTAACCGCCACCATGACCGCCCAGAACGGGCACTGCTGCGTTTCCTGACTCAGGGCCTGAGGGGCTGGAGGCACCTAGTCATGCCGTTGGAACTTCCTGTACCAGGTCTTCTAGAGCAAGGCTGCAACGCCCCCACTGTCACCCCAGAAGGCATCACTCTAACTTCTGCTCTGAGAGGACGAAGAAAGACACCGTCACAGGGCCCTGCCGTTGCTCCGCCCTGAGTGCTGAGGACTCGAACACCAAGCAGGCCCACGGCTGGACTCTGTGGAGGGTGAGAGATGGGGGCCACCAAGCTCGCCTCTGCACCTACCCATAGCTCCCCAATCTCCCGGATGTTGCTCCGGTACCGCTGGCAGTCATGCAGGACCTGCAGACAGGGGGACAAGGGAGGAGGCTAGAGATCCAGGGCTGGCAGGAGGGCCCAACACACTGACCCGTGCTGGCGGCACGCTGAGGGCGAGGCTGGGAAGGGGCAGGTAGAGGGCAGCAGGCGTGGCGGACAGAGTCTCTCATTTCAAAGGGACACTCCCTGCCTCCCCTGGGCACCACAGTGGCTGGAACAGGAGACCCTCTGGGGACCAGTGAACAGAGGCTACTCACGTTGGGGTGCCCATCTCGAAGAACCTTGTGGAGGACATGGCAGAATTTCCAGCTGAGGATGGAGCTGCTGGGAAGCGGCAGGCCGATAGCATAGGACCAGAAGGTGAAGGCCCCCTTTTCATGGTGAGTGCCCAGAATGATGCCTACCAGCGTCAAGGCCAAGTGCAGCATGCAGAGACCAGCGTGGGGAAGGCCGGGGGCACTTGGTGACGCCCATCCCACAGCTGCTGAGCCCCTCCCCACACCCACCACGGTTCACAAAGAGCTCAGCAAAGGTCAAGAAAAAGGGCAATGCCTTAGCCAGTTTCTCTCAGTGGATAGAGTGTCGGCCTGCAGACTGAAGGGTCCCAGGTTCGAGTCTGACCAAGGACATGTACCATGGTTGCAGGCTCCTTCCTGGCCCGGGCCTTGGTAAGGGTGCATGCAGGCGGCAACCGATTGACATGTTTCTCTCACATCGATATTTCTGTCTTTCCCTCTCTTTTCCAGTCTCTCTAAAAATCAATGGAAAAATATCCTCAGGTGAGGATTTAAAAAAAAAAAGTATTAAAAAAACAATCCTATTTATCATTGCATCAAAAAAATTAAGATACCTAAGAATACACTTAACTAAGGAGGTAAAAGACCTGTACTCAGAAAACCACAGGACACTGAAAAAAAAAGACAGAGGAAGACATAAACAGATGGAAGGACATATCATGTTCATGGAATGGTAGAATCAACATCATTAAAATGTCCATACTACCCAAAGTAATCTACAAATCCAATGTATTCCCCATTAAAATACCAACGGCATATTTCACAGACCTAGAAGGAACTCTCCAAAAATTCATCTGGAATAAAAAAAGACCCCGAATGGCCGCAGCAATCCTGAGAAAGAACAAAGTAGGAGGTATCTCAATACCAGATATCAAGCTGTATTGCAAAGCCACTGTTCTCAAAACAAGAACAGACATATAGACCAATGTACTAGAATAGAGAACCCATAAATAGACCCAAACCACTATGCTCAATTAATATTTGACAAAGGAGGCAATAGCATACAATGGAATCAAGACAGTCTCTTCAATAAATGGTGCTGGGAAAGTTGGACAGAAAAAGTCCC